ATGGCCAAGTTTAAAAATTTCTACCGTGTAGTTTTTATTTATAGGCTTTGTTTGTTAAAGAACCGGAATTCTTAACTTAATTATAAGATTATATTACGCGCATTCGTGTCATCCGACTTTGTCGATGATTTTCTATCATTTATTTTTTGTGCCACCTCCAGATTTTGGATATATTTTAGACAATATAATTATCTATATTCTGGCCAAGTTTAAAAAAATTCTACCGTGTAGTTTTTTATTTATAAGGTTTTTTGTTTTAGAACCGAATTCTAAACGTAATTATATAAGATTATATTACATGCATTCGTGTCATCCGACTTTGTCGATGATTTTCTATCATTTATTTTTTTGTGCCACTCCAGATTTTGGATATGTTATAGACAATAAGAATATCTACAATATGGCCAAGTTTAAAAAATTCTACCGTGTAGTTTTTAGCTATAGAGCTGTTTGTCGAATGTATGCCAACTTCATTTGTTTATTCTCAAGGAATACTATTCCTTTTATATTTTGTGCACTCCAGATTTTGGATATGTTATAGACAATAAAATATCTAATATGGCCAAGTTTAAAAAATTCTACCGTGTAGTTTTTTATTTATAGGCCTTTGAAAAATTACATGGATATAGGAAGTTATTATATAATATTATATTACGCGTATTCGTGTCATCCGACTTTGTCGATGATTTTCTATCATTTATTTTTTGTGCCACCTCCAGATTTTGATATATTTTAGACAATATAATTATCTATATTCTGGCCAAGTTTAAAAAATTCTACCGTGTAGTTTTTTTAGCTATAGAGCTTTGTTTGTCGAATGTGGTGCCAACTTCACGGTTTATACCAGAGTACATTCTCAAGGAATATTATTTCTTTTATTTTTGTGCCACCTCCAGATTTTGGATATATTTAGACAATAAGAATATCTACAATATGGCCAAGTTTAAAAATTTTCACCGTAGTTTTTTATTTATAAGGCTTTGTTTGTTAAAGAACCGGAATTCTTAACTTAAATATATAAGATTATATTACGCGCATTCGTCATCCGACTTTGTCGATGATTTTCTATCATTTATTTTTTTGTTCTCCAGATTTTGGATATATTTTAGACAATATAATTATCTATATTCTGGCCAAGTTTAAAAAATTCTACCGTGTAGTTTTTATTTATAGGCCTTGTTTAAAAAATTACATGGATATAGGAAGTTAATTATATAAGATTATATTACGCGCATTCGTGTCATCCGACTTTGTCGATGATTTTCTATCATTTATTTTTTGTGCCACTCCAGATTTTGGATATATTTTAGACAATATAATTATCTATATTCTGGCCAAGTTTAAAAATTCTACCGTGTAGTTTTTATTTATAGGCTTTGTTTGTTTTAGAACCGGAATTCTAACGTAATTATATAAGATCATATTACATGCATTCGTGTCATCCGACTTTGTCGATGATTTTCTATCATTTATTTTTGTGCCACCTCCAGATTTTGGATATGTTAGACAATAAGAATATCTACAATATGGCCAAGTTTAAAAAATTCTACCGTGTAGTTTTTATTTATAAGGCTTTGTTTGTTAAAGAACTGGAATTTAACTTAAATATATAAGATTATATTACGCATTCGTGTCATCCGACTTTGTCGATGATTTTCTATCATTTATTTTTTGTGCCACCTCCAGATTTTGGATATATTTAGACAATATAATTATCTATATTCTGGCCAAGTTTAAAAAATTCTACCGTGTAGTTTTTTTATTTATAGGCTTTGTTTTAGAACCGGAATTCTAAACGTAATTATATAAGATCATATTACATGCATTCGTGTCATCCGACTTTGTCGATGATTTTCTATCATTTATTTTTGTGCCACCTCCAGATTTTGGATGTTATAGACAATAAAAATATCTACAATATGGCCAAGTTTAAAAATTCTACCGTAGTTTTTTATTTATAGGCCTTTGTTTGCAAAGTTACCTGGACATAGGAAGTTAATTATTAAATATTATATTACGCGTATTCGTGTCATCCGACTTTGTCGATGATTTTTTATCATTTATTTTTTTGTGCCACCTCCAGATTTTGGATATGTCATAGACAATAAGAATATCTACAATATGGCCAAGTTTAAAAAAATTCTACCGTGTAGTTTTTTATTTATAGGTCTTTGTTTGTTAAAGAACCGGAATTTTTAACTTATTTATGCAGATTATATTACGCGCATTTGAGTCATCCAACTTTGCCGATGATTTTCTATCATTTATATTTTGTGCACTTTCCAAATTTTGGATATATTTAGACAATATAAAATTCTATAATATACTTTGAGTTTAAAAAATTCTACCGTGTAGTTTTAAAGCTATAGAGCTGTTTGTCGAATGTGGTGCCAACTTCACGGTTTATTCTCAAGGAATACTATTCCTTATATTTTGTGCACTCTCCAGATTTTGGATATGTTATAGACAATAAAAATATCTACAATATGGCCAAGTTTAAAAAATCTACCGTGTAGTTTTTATTTATAAGGCTTTGTTTGTTAAAGAACCGGAATTCTTAAATTAAATATAAGATTATATTACGCGCATTCGTGTCATCCGACTTTGTCGATGATTTTCTATCATTTATTTTTTGTGCCACCTCCAGATTTTGGATATATTTTAGACAATATAATATCTACCATGGCCAAGTTTAAAAATTTCTACCGTGTAGTTTTTTATTTATAGGCTTTGTTTGTTAAAGAACCGGAATTCTTAACTTAAATTTATAAGATTATATTACGCGCATTCGTGTCATCCGACTTTGTCGATGATTTTCTATCATTTATTTTTGTGCCACCTCCAGATTTTGGATATATTTTAGACAATATAATTATCTATATTCGGCCAAGTTTAAAAAATTCTACCGTAGTTTTTTTATTTATAGGCCTTTGTTTGAAAAATTACATGGATATAGGAAGTTAATTATATAAGACATATTACGCGCATTCGTGTCATCCGACTTTGTCGATGATTTTCTACAACTTATTTTTTGTGCCACTCCAGATTTTGATATATTTTAGATAATATAATTATCTATATTCTGGCCAAGTTTAAAAATTTCTACCGTGTAGTTTTTTATTTATAGGCCTTTCTTTGAAAAATTACATGGATATAGGAAGTTAATTATATAAGATTATATTACGCGCATTCGTGTCATCCGACTTTGTCGATGATTTTCTATCATTTATTTTTTTGTGCCACCTCCAGATTTTGGATATATTTTAGACAATATAATTATCTATATTCTGGCCAAGTTTAAAAAAATTCTACCGTGTAGTTTTTTATTTATAAGGCTTTGTTTGTTTTAGAACCGGAATTCTAAACGTAATTATATAAGATCATATTACATGCATTCGTGTCATCCGACTTTGTCGATAATATCATTTATTTTTGTGCCACCTAGATTTTGGATATGTCATAGACAATAAGAATATCTACAATATGGCCAAGTTTTAAAAATTCTACCGTGTAGTTTTTAGCTATAGAGCTGTTTGTCGAATGTGGTGCCAACTTCACGGTTAATACCAGAGTACCTCGGAATATTATTCCTTTTATTTTTTGTGCCACCTCCAGATTTTGATATGTCATGACAATAAAGAATATCTACAATATGGCCAAGTTTAAAAAATTTCTACCGTGTAGTTTTCATTTATAAGGCTTTGTTTGTTAAAGAACTGAATTTTAACTTAAATATAAGATTATATTACGCGCATTCGTCATCCGACTTTGTCGATGATTTTCTATCATTTATTTTTGTGCCACCTCCAGATTTTGGATATATTTTAGACAATATAATTATCTATATTCTGGCCAAGTTTAAAAAATTCTACCGTGTAGTTTTAAATTATAGGCTATTTAAGAGAAATGGAAAGTACACTGTAATATAAATCTTAGTGTTTTTCTTCAATTTCTTGACTTTTATACATTTTTGTGATGTTTAAGGACTGAAATAGTAATAAACAGTTAAGAATTATTTTACTGTTGTATTTGATGGAAAACGTTTTAAAGACGATTTTTGATTTATCATTTTGAATGATAAATTTTAGTTGAATGTGGTGATGAATGTTGTGATGATTGTTGTGTTGAATGTGGTGCCCAATGTGGTGCCAATTTCACGGTAGTTTCATTCTAACATCCCATGGTGGTTGTATGGATTTTCAGTTAATGTATAAATATTGATTTGATTATGCCTCTGGAGAAACATTTTTGTCGAAAAAATTGCACATCGTTTTTTCTCCACTAATTTGATCATGCAAATTGTTGCTCTTAAACAAGGTCGGAATTTAGCTCCATAACAAAACTTTGGTGGTGAATGCTTCTATATTTGATTATTGTTCTAACCAAATCCTTGTATTTTGTTCATGTGGCTTGTTATGCTCACGATTTCAGTCAGCAAAAGTTTGAAATTATGATAAAAGTCAAAAGGAAAATGCTTGGTCTGACTTTGATTTGAAGAATTTCCTTTAAATGTCAAATCTTTAGAGATAAAAAATTTCTTATTCAGTTGGAGATTGTTTTAAAGAGAGATGGAATTTCTTGACCAGAGACATTACTAAAACCTTGTGTGATTTAGCTTGCACTTTTTGAAACTTTCATTAAAAAATGTACAACCTCGCATCCTGTTTGGTTCCTAAAATTTTATAAAATTTCAACTAGTTTGTTGTGTTTATGGCAATGATGTCACAACTGAGACTGATCTGAATTGAGACACATGAAAAGAAATAATAATTGAAATATCAAAATTCTGAAAACAAAACAATCTAGTTTTTCTCTTTAAAATGTATTCATGATTGATTTGCAAATTCCTTGACTGATTGATTGTTTTGATTGATTTGATTGGTTGAGCTCAGATCAGTTTTGTAGCAGGCTGATGCAAACACATCACCAATCACCCCACGCTGCTTATTGTTTTTATTTTATATTACAATTCATCTCATTACTCATGTTATTTGGATTCTTTGAATGTATTTTTCATTGATAGCCAAGATAATGAGAGAAACAAAGGATTCATACTCTGGAGGCAGTCAAGCTCAGAGAATTTGATCTCAAGGAAACACTTTAAACTTATTGAACATCTATGTAAGAAAATGTTGAAATTCGTTGGGTTGATGTATTTTCCATTCACACATCCGCCATGGGAAATGGAGATCAAAGTTAATGACGATTGGATGGAGCTGCTAGGATGTGTATATTACAGCATAGAATATTGGAAACAGGTATTTGTAGACATATTCTTATTCTAATACAACTTTGTAGGGATAGTTGGGTATGGAGTAATATTTGCATTTTAGGTAGCATGAGGGTTGCTAAACAGAAGAGATGCATGTACCTTTGTGAGAATCAACATAAATATTAAAGCATTGGTTTAAAATATATAAAAATGCATAAATTAGAGCATGATATCACAGAGCGTAATTGTTGTGATGAATTTGGAACCATAAATTAGCATGATTTTGGATTCATAAATATGTCACATGATACAAAAATTAATGTGACCTCACACAGTGGATAAATATGCATGATATGGATGCATAAATTAACATGACATGTTAATTTATACATAAATTAGTTAGATGTAATAAAGTGCATGAGCATGTCACAGAGTGCATAAACTTGTGTGATGCCATGGCGCACCACTTTTGAACACACATATCAAGTGTTATCCCTATGTGTATGTGAAGTATAGTGCATTGAATATTGTAGTAGTCAACCTCGGAGATTAATTGTTAGCAGAACATCAGAGAGTCAATTCTTCAGTCTTTTGTTTTTTATTATGAATATTGTAGTCATCACCCTCAGAGTTTAGTCTTACTGTGTATTAGTCAGAACCTCAAGAGTCAATTCTTCAGAAATTTTTATGTATTACAGTCAGTGGACACAGAGATGTTTGTGTGTTGTAAAGGATTTCTTTTCAGTTTTTAACTACTTCACTTGAGCGTTTATTTAAGACAAAAGAATTTCTTCTGTTAGCTGGAGCAGGCAACAAGATTGCTTGGGCATTTGGAATGGGTCTAGAGCGGCTTGCGATGAAATTATTTGATATTCCTGACATTCGGCTTTTTTGGAGTGAAGATGAAAGGTTCTTGTCGCAGTTTCAAGGAAACAAAATTGTGAAATTTCAGCCTTTCAGTAAATATCCGCCAACTTATAAAGATATCTCGTTTTGGATTTCCGAGAAATACACAGCTAATGATTTCCATGAAATAGTTCGTTTAACAGCCGGAGATATCGTGGAAAAGGTGATACTTCATGTTATTTTTCATTTGCTTTTGTCACGATAACTTTCCGATGTTCATGTAAGATTTGGTTTTTAGGTTCAACTCATTGACGAGTATGTTCATCCTGATACAGGTCGTGTTAGCCATTGTTATCGTATAACTTATCGATCCATGGAGAAAACATTCCGAGATGACGAAGTGAATGAAATTCAAGATTTTCTTCGTAAAGAGGTTTCCCGACAGCTCAATGTGGAATTACGAACATAAGATTCACGATAGGATCTCACGAACTGTCGACTTAGCGTTCTTCACCTTGTGATTAATGAGGATCTTGCATGACGCAAAGTCAGTTATATGTGATTAAAATGAGGTCAACAAATGTGTGAAGAAGAGAAGAGCTTCAAAACTTTGTAGAGAGGAGAAAGAGTCTAAGAGATCAATGTTAATGGTCTGTGTAGGATACAAGATTCAATGTTGTTGCCGTTGGAAAAGTATGATTGATTTGTACCGAACTCCGTGTTGAGTGATGAAATCGTAAGAATTCAATGATAGCACTATAAATGAATAAATTTCATCTAAAAAATGAGCAAGTGTATACCATAATGTTTATTTTATTTTAGCAACTTCATTGGTAGCAATTCTTCTCGTCATTTATTGTATTCTTTCATAAGAAGGATCTACAGGTTGTCATTTGCACCTTAAGTTATATGTTAAGAGACAAGTTTCTTTTTTCTAAAAGGAAGTGTGTTCACTATGCATTTATCTATCTTTCTATCGTCTTTCCTTCATCCTTGCTGATACTCCTTCATCTTTGCTGATACTCCTTCATCTTTGCTGATACTCCTTCATCTTTGCTGATACTCCTTCATCCTTGCTGAAAGTCCATCCTTGCTGATACTCCTTCATCCTTGCTGATACTCCTTCATCCTTGCTAAAAGTCCATCCTTGCTGATACTCCTTCATCTTTGCTGATACTCCTTCATCCTTGCTGATACTCCTTCATCCTGCTGATACCCTTCATCCTTGCTGATACCTCTTCATCCTTAAAAGTCCATCCTTGTTGATACCTCTTCATCTTTGCTGATACCCTTCATCCTTGCTGATACTCCTTCATCCTTGCTGATACCCCTTCATCCTTGCTGATACCCTTCATCCTGCTGATACTCCTTCATCTTTGCTGATACTCCTTCATCTTTGCTGATACTCCTTCATCCTTGCTGATACTCCTTCATCCTTGCTGATACTCCTTCATCTTTGCTGATACTCCTTCATCCTGCTGATACTCCTTCGTCCTTGCTGATACTCCTTCATCCTTCCTGATACTCCTTCATCTTTGCTGATACTCCTTCATCCTTGCTGATACTCCTTCGTCCTAGTTGATACTCCTTCGTCCTTGCTAATACTCCTTCATCCTTGCTAATACTCCTTCATCCTTGCTGATACATCATTATGCCACAAGCTACTTGACATTTCCGTCCATCCCGTTCACCATGCCCACACATACTATTTCTTTTCCATTCTCTTCATTACTCTGAACTGTTTATCCAAAGGAAAAATTCTCCAAATTGTTCATTTTAACCTCGTGTTACCTGCCTGTACATCTTAGGAAGAGTTCCATTTTCTTCGACATCTTTCGTAAATTGTATGTGGCTGTTCTGTTCGTTGATGTGAGTGTGAAAGTCATCAATCTCGTCTGCATGTAGTGCTGTGATTGTGTCATCTACATAACGGAACCAAAAAGGTAGTGCATGTTTGTAAGTCGTGAGCGCCCGTTCCTCTATAGATTGCATTACAATTTCAGCAACTACAAAAGAAACGGGTGAGCCCATTGCTGTTCCATGTAATCGTTTGTAATGTGTACCTTTGTATTGGAAGTAAGTCGAGGTGAGGCAGAGCTCCATAATGTCTTCTGGCGGTAATGGCAGTATGTCCGTGGTGTTTGTAATGAGGGTTTTGTACAAGGCCAGATTAAGTGGAGAACTGGTGAACAGTGATTTCACATCAAAAGACACTAGTATATAGTTGTCTGGTACTTGTATAGTGCTCAGTTTTTTAATGAAAGTTTTAGTGGATTGTAGCTTGTGTTTTGATTTGCTTGTAAGTGGTTGCAGTATGTCAATCAAGTACTTTGGGAGTTCGTAAGTAGGCGAACCACAGAATGATACAATTGGTCGCATGGGTATTTGTGAATAAAAAATGCATTTGAACTGTGTAGTATATGTACCTTCACTGATTGTGTTGTTTATTTCAGCAGTTTCATCCATGACCTAAATAGATAAAACAATCTCATACAATGCACTGGTTTAAGATTCCTTTTTTATTTCAATGATACAGTCGTACATCTTCCACATCACCCATAATTTTTTCCACATTGTCAATAGTTAAACCAGATTCTTGAGATAATGTTTTGAACATTTGTGCGCCAGCTTTTAATGCATCTATTACCTGAAAAGAAGTAAAATATAATATAATTTGACAATAAATAATAGTTTTGCCACGAATAACATTGTACAAAAACATGATCACCTGATGTATGTTCACAGCTTAAGGTTTAGTCTATCTTTTAAGTCTATCTTTGTTTGCTGAAGCAATGAGGCTTTGTAACCTACGATTCAAGAATGCTTTTCTGTTAGAGAAACTTAAGAATTGAACTTTGAAAAACCAATTTTATTTTTCATACTCATCAGTTTCTTTGTTGAGTTTTGTGTTTTGTAATTTAGTAGTTGTTTCGGACTTTCTAAGTCTAAAGAAGAAATTGGGAAGAGTCAAAGATTATCAAAGAGAATGGTATTATGTTGTCTGTCATCAAGTGTTTTACATATTGATAATGATATGAAAGAATTCTCTCAGCCTTTCTCTAAAATGCAGTTTGAAAATTAAAACTACTGGAAATTAGAATGAAAATGAAAAAACAACTAAAAGACGTGTCGGCTTGCATTCTTACTTCGACTAGGTGTAGCAGTAGGAACGACCCTATGTCTATTTCATTTGTTTGCCAAACTTTTCCAACTGTCCACCAGAGCGACTTTTTTGCTTTTCCCAAAGACCATGCACTCCATGTATCACTCTAAGAAGTCGTTTTTTTTCACAATTTCCCCTACTGTTCAACATTTTTTTTAGACCTGTACAAATACCAAGTGGTGTCAAACGATCTCTATTAAATCTTGTTTTTGAAACGTTAATATCAAAATCAAGTTTGTCAAAATAGTCACAACTTTGAGAGGCTACACTTTTCCAGAATTGAAATTTACTTTCCCAGTGCTTCGGGTGACATTTCTATTCTCTTAAAAAGCGGAGAACATGAAGTTCATGCGATTGTCATCTTGCCACTCATCAGGAAGAAACGCCATACTGATTTTAAAACAGTTAATTATAAACTTCGTGTAGTGCTAAATATTACAGGAGATTTAACAAAGGCGAACTGAAAGAATTTAACTCCGTCAAGAAGATATAAATGTCAGCCATGAATATCTTGAAAATTGGCGTTTTCATCATATTTTTTGTGGCTTACACTACGCACCAAACATGGTATCTCATGAGGGATTTGCACTATATCAATGAAAACTTCTGGATGCACTCAGTACATCGTTTAGGTCCTCTCGGAGTTGCATCATTAACCTGAACATTATAAATTTTTTTCAGCCATTAAAAAATTGTATGTTCTCAACTTAGGATGATTATATTTGAAAGCAGAAACACTTTTTTTGAATGTTATTTTATTTCAAAGAGAGACGTTATCAAAAGTGTCTTACCTAATTTACCTTTCACTTACCTGGGATAACTTTTAATATTTAACATATTGTAGAAATTTAGCCAATCAGAGATCTAAGAGCTCAAAATTTACCCAATAACAATTGTAGAGCTCATCGAAATCAACCAATGAAATCGGGCCACCAAATGATCTTAATAAACGTCAATCACTTTACACAACGGTAGATGCCCTCAAGACTCGAAAGTGAAAGGAAGGTTAGTGAAATTTTGATTTATTGTTTTAAAACGCACTTCAAATGTTGATGAATTCTATGACAAAAGCCTTGTTTGATGTATAGTTACGCATTGTTTTACTTGTAAATCTTTTCGTCGGTTGTTTTTGTGCAATTCGCCGTTTAACTGCGTGCCTTCGACGGTGTATTTGCTTGGCCAGAGAAACTTGACAGTATAAAAACGGCAAGTTTGTATGTTTCAAAGTCTTTCTTTTCTTTTTGTTTCAGTGTGTTGGGGACTGCTAGTGTTTTGAATACTTCGAAGTGAAACTTTGTTGAATATTTTTGCTTTTAGCGTGTATTTTTGAATAGATATTTTTTCAGCGATAAAGTTGTGCGACCGACATCTTCCTCGTTTCAACACAAAAATATGTAAAAATTCTAGGTGAAAAGTAATAGTATGGCAAAATAAGCGATAAGAAGGATATTTCTTATCCCATGGGTTGATTTTTTGTTCGTAAAAAATGTTCTTTTGACTCTTTTGAGCGAATATTTTGAGATATGTGAAAAATATGAAAATGTTGGTTCATGGTGGACATTGGACTTTCGATAAAATTGGCGCCAATTTTGTTCCGCGTGAAAATGAAGAAAACTGGGTACGAATTATGCAAAATTGACAAGCTTGACTACGAAAATACCCACAAAATCTATGAATGAAGTGGGATACTGGGAAAAATTTAAAGAGTTTTGACGGCTACAGGCTCTTCAATTCAATAAGTTCGAATGACAACAATTTCAATGGGCGAGAAAGATTTTCAATGAAATACGATGTACGCTACTTGAGTACAATTTAGAAAAGTTGTTATTGAAAACTGTTTTAAGAACATTTTGCCAATAAATGTGTTTATATTCTATAGGAAAAGAAGCTAATTTTCTCTTGAGAATTTACTATGAGGAATCATAAAGAATGCAACAAAAGTCGTATCCTAGTTGAAATTTGAAGCAAAGATAAAACGGATCGCTATCAAAACAACTGGAAGAGAACAAAGGAGGAGTAAGGTAGGAAACTCAAAATTATATGACGCTAAAACTTCCATTGACTGCCTGGTTCTTTTTATACAAAAACGATTTGAAAATTTTTGTTATAATATTCTTTTATTGTAGTAATCTTTTCTGTTAATATTTTTACTCTGCTATTGCAATTTTTATAACATATATCAAATGGGTGAAAACGCAGAAGCTCATTTCGTTTGATTTGAATTGATAGGATATTCAAATGAAAGCAACAGAAAGAGCGTCTTTTTATGGATTTACTTGTGCACACATTCAAAATTTTTTCCCCTTTTTCTTAAAACTTTGCACGAAAAGTTTGTTTAACCTTTTTGTTGTGCAATCATTATCTTCGTATTTTGCTGCTGGTAGACGAGTACTAGCTATAAGTTTAGGGTAGAAATAATTAGATAATAAATCAAAAAAACAATTGTTGTGAACAATCTATCTGAAAACGATGTTCAAAAGCATTTAAAGAAGTCTATATGACTTCCTCCATTTGAAATGTGTAAGGGATTAAAACAAACATTCCTTCATGAAACAAAACTAAATGTTGTGTGCATGTGCCAACGATTTTGATTAAATTTTTAAGTCAAATCCAGTGATGTGAATGATATTTCAAAAATCAACGCTCAATGACGTATAAAGAAGTCTATAAGACTTCCTTCTTTTGAATTGTATCGATATAAGAAGAAGCCTTCATTTGTAAAAATTTACTCATGAATCAAAAGTAAATACTGTGTGCATTTTTAAGCAAAATGCTGCTGAGTTTAAGATATACAAGAATTAGCAAATCTAGTGTTGTGAATGATCTATATAAAAAAAAATCGACGTCCAATGGCGTATAAAGAAGTCTATAAGACTTTCTATGAAATGTATATATATATTAAAAGACATATTCACTGAAAAGAAATTTACTCATGAATCAAAAGTAAATGTTGTGGACATTTTTAAACAAAATGCTGTTGAGTTTAGGGTAAGGATTATCAGACAATAATTAAGTCAAAACTGCCATTGTGAACGATCGATATGAAATCGACGTTTAAGAGAAAATGAAGAATTCTTTACGACTTCATTATTTTGGAATTTATAAGATATGAAAAGAAACATTAATTGGAAGAAATTTATTTATAAAACAAAAGTAAAATATCATATTTATACATACATCAGCAACTTGAAGTCTTCATTTGTCCACTATTCATTTAATTATTAATTAGAAAAGTAAGCAAAAGTATTGTTGTAAAAAGTACTCTTTGAACAAAGCGTTCTACAGATTATTTAAAATACCTACAAGACATCGAGAATAGTTAGAATTAATAGAAGAGGTCACTTTATGAACCACAAGTTCACTATTGGACAAGAACAAGGAAACTCAAGAACGCGGTATACTTAGTCAGGAAGCGTTTATGAGCCTATGATGGCAAAACAGCATCTACTTTTTTTGGGGAGCTCATCAATGTAGCGTTTTCCGTTGTTGAGACACTTCATCGACTCTTGCGAAAGCGGCGTCTTTCGTTGTTCAGGCACTTCGTCGACTCTTGCGAAAGCGGCGTCTTTCGTTGTTCAGGCACTTCGTCGACTCTTGCGAAAGCGGCGTCTTTCGTTGTTCAGGCACTTCGTCGACTTATGCGAAAGCGGCGTCTTTCGTTGTTGAGGCACTTGTCGATCTTATGAAAGCGGCGTCTTCGTTGTTGAGGCATCATCGACTCTGCGAAAGCGGCGTCTTCGTTGTTGAGGCACTTCGTCGACTCTTGCGAAAGCGGCGTCTTTCGTTGTTGAGGCACTTCATCGTTTCTTGCGAAAGCGGCGTCTTTCGTTGTTGAGGCACTTCGTCGACTCTTGCGAAAGCGGCGTCTTTCGTTGTTGAGGCACTTCGTCGACTTTGCGAAAGCGGCTCCGTTGAGGCACTTCATCGGTCTTTGCGAATGGCGTCTTCCCTTGTTGAGGCACTTCGTCAACTCTTGCGAAAGCGGCGTCTTTCGTTGTTGAGGCACTTCGTCGACTCTTGCGAAAGCGGCGTCTTTCGCTGTTGAGGCACTTCATCGACTTTTGCGAATGTGGCGTCTTCCGTTGTTGAGGCACTTGAGACGCAGAATTTTTGTTTTTGAGGCCCTTCGTTCATTCTTGACAGGTCAGAAATTTCCATTTTATATCTTCAGAGACTCTTCAAGTGGAGTGGGTTTTTCTATCTGATCTAATTAGATCTGAGGCGTCAGATAGATCAAACTAGATCAGATAGAAAAATCAACAAAGAAAGAAAAGCGAGAAATTCAAAGGCAAAGTTCACTGCTATGTTTTAAAAAAAAGTTACAGTGAAACGGTGCAAGAAAAAAATGACAAAGCAATCTTGTGACGAAAAAGAAGATGAAATAATGAAAGAAAACATTGACAGCAAGATGAAATAATGCAAGACAAAGTTTCATGACTCTATAACTATACTTGTAAATACATTGCCTGACACTTTAGCCCATGCATGACTTTTGAAGACTTCTTGTTGCAGATATAATCTTTTTTACATGTTGCTTTCTGTTTGTGGGTTTCATCGTCTAACTTAATTGTCTCGTATAACTTACCTTAACTCAATAAGCTCTTGAACAACTTAATTCAGACTAAGATGTAAATAACCTAGCTTATCGTCGAAGTTTTATGTTCTGTTGTTTTTGACTTGCACGTGATTTTCGACCAAATGTGCACAAGTAAATCTCTAGAGATGCTGCAGTTGGCACAAGATATAGGATGGACGCCAGGTAAGATGAACATTACATGATGCACAGACATTTACATTGGCATTAAATCTTACTTGAATATTTTGCCACCTGAATTTTAGCAAAAAGCATGCATTTAATGTCATGATGAGATATGGTGCTTAGTCCATCTATGGTGGTGACATTGTGTGGAAGTTTGAAAACTGCTATGGTGAACTATAAACTCAATATCAGGAAACAAATTATCCATCCTAATACCACAAAGCTTAAAATGTATTTTGGTAAGTTGCTGATGTGTTTTTATCTGTTCGATATCAAACAAGCGATCGTTTTAGGTGGAGGGACGTAATAACTAATAATAGTATAATGATTTTTGATTCCAGAAATTTTTCTTCAAAAACTATACCACCTTTACCACTGCTGAACGTTTAGGAGTTGCAGTTGGTTGCTTATGACGATGAGTCTACAGGTATTAAACTTTTCTTGTAAATACCTTTCGTACTTGTTTTATCATTACTTACAGTTTCTGCAAAGCTGGTTACATTATGAGTAGACTAAACAGTATGATGTCATAATAAAAAATGATTCAACATTTAACTTTTAACAAATTTTCAAAATTGGAATATTGCTTTTTGGTTGTGTTTTATTGCTAAATTTAGAAAGTCTTCCAACTAATTCATATAAAATTACTAAGAGCTTTGAGCAAGAGCAGCCGATAAATTAGATGGGAATTGCTAAAAAGCTTTTTTGATTTTTGATTTATTATATAACGTTATTCTTTTGTCAAATTGAAATACATTCATGTTTCATTTTTTGAACTCAATTGTTTTGTAGATAAGGAATGATAGAATGATGGTGTATTATATCGATTAATTGCAACATGGTTATTGTGGATTACATCGTGGCTGTCGTGGAATTACATCGTGGCTGTCGTGGATTACATCGTGGCTGTCGTGGATTACATCGTGGCTGTCGTGGAATACATCGTGGCTGTCGTGGATTACATCGTGGCTGTCGTGGATTACATCGTGGCTGTCGTGGATTACATCGTGGCTGTCGTGGATTACATCGTGGTTGTCGTAAATTTCATCGTGGTTGTCGTGGATTTTGTCAAACTAATATTGGGCTAAGGATTACGTTAATCTATGAATGAAGAACGACGACGAGCAATTGTGTAATAATCAAACATTGATCAGCCGTTCATAAACTTTGCTGTTTGACTTCAAAATCTATTTGACATTGTGCTACACGAACATAAGTTGAAAAAACATACGATAGTTTCATGGTGGTTTGTTGAATTATGATATGTATCAAGATTTGAGTAAAGCTGTAAGAGGGAATCACAAAAGTTATCAACAGAATAAAAACTTACATTACGTGGAAAATTAAATATAGGTGAGTAATATCTGATTATAGAATTTCAATCAATTTGCTAACTGAGTTGCTGAAATTTGTTGTAGAGAAAAAAAGTAATAATATTTTAATGTTTTAAATTTCAGTAATTTCCACTTCATCAACAAACATTACGCTTCATTTGTTGATTGTGAGAGTATGTTTCATCCTATGAACAAAACCACCTTACAAAACACTGCTGGAAGTTTTGAAGAGGCAGTTGGTTGCTCATGACGATCAGTCTATAGGTAATTCATGTGTATTTTTCTTACTGACCAATCTTTACAGTTGCTTTTTAGCTACGTTACGAGTGGAAGATAATGTTGTAAATGGGAATTAGCCTAGCAAAAACAATGTTATTTGTTGGGAATATTTTGTCTTGAAAAAACATCTTTACATTAATTGTTATAACATCACACAGAATATATAGGTTTTCACAATAAAATTATTATAATTTTACAATAATTTTATTAGAGGTTTTTGTTTCACGTTGTTGTCATTAACTGTGCAATTTTCGTGAATTTTGAAGAATTTCGTGTTATCTTGAACCTTCATGTGTTTTGTAGTGAAAAAAGAATACAATGGTGGCACATTATGATTCATATATTGTATCATGTATGTCGTGGGTCAAAGCATAATTGTCGTCGATCACAGTCATATAGTCATCGTAGATTAACTGATTAACTGACAGCTGTCGTGGATTACATGTACTTTATGGTTGTCATGGATTTACCTCATCGTTGTCGTGGATTTACATCATCGTTGTACCTTAATCTACGAATGAAGACCAAAGGCGACGTTTAAGGTAGCAGGTTTAAAGTGTTTTAGTTAAAATCCTGGTGATCTACACTAACAGGAAGATGATTGATCATTGGCTGAGTGTATAACAAAGTTAGTTGTTCTTTTGATTGTTATTAGTGTTGTGTTTTTTAGTTTTGTGCATGTGGTGCAGTGCTTTTTGCGGTTGAAACATTTGCCTAAAACGATGATATATCTTATACTGTCGAAAACCTTTATCAAATTGTCGTATAATGTAAGATTATCATTGTACAAGGTAAAATATATATGTCTGATGTCGGTTTTTATAAGTTTTTCGTTCATTTGATCACCAGGATACACGATCCTAAGTTTAAAGAAATAAGCATGGGTTTCTTTGAGTTTTGGTCGTGTGTATTATATCTTGCGTATTTTACTTCTTAAAACTGAATCATATGTATATTTAGTTATCAAAGTAGAAAATTACGGTCCAAAAAATGGCGAAATCCGAATCACAGATTGCACGTTAAAATAACAAAAGAAATTTCGGACCGAAACATGGCGCAATCCGGCATGCAAGCTGCATAGCGCAAATTAAATTAATCTAAAGGTTATAAACGTCTGAAATATTCTTGCTTGATGATGCTTTATAAATCATTTTTACGTTTAGTTTGAATTGCTTGAATTTTGAACCATGCAAAACTTGAAATGTTCACCAGACGCTTGAAAATGAATAAAAACAAGTGAAAGTGCTTAAAAATATTTTTAGAAAAAAAATGAGTGATTTGCATCATCAAGACGAATATGCAACGTTGGTCTAATAAACAACGAAACAGAATAATAGGTGCATGAAACCTGGCATTGCTTTTGCTAAATAGCTGTCAAAATCAATGTTATGACAGTGGCATGTCCAAGTTAATTAACTCACTGTTATTTAACTTGAAGAACATAATTCAGAGAAGGAATATAGTTCAATTATTCATGATGTATTGGGTTAGCTCGTCTCGAAATCAAATCGAACATCTTCATCTGTTTTATGCATGGAAGATGATTTGATAGACAGTGAGACAAACTTATCCGATACATTTAGAGTAGATGCAGGTAGAAATAATAGTAAACGGTGCCAAATTGGTACCTAGGTGATCGAGTGTTGGACACAAGAAGGATTGGTTGGCACTCCGTTTGGTAAAGTATAAGGGCCCAGGGAGGCGGTTCCCTATTCGTTAGGTTCCCTTTCGGCTCGGGTACTAACGTTGCTTTACAGGTGTCTCATCGTTCAAAGGTATGGTTTACTTATTTTTGTGCAGAATAGTTCGTAGGTAGACATTCAAATCGGTTATTTCATGCCACTGATCAACAGGGTTAGCTAAGAATTCGCTTAGGCAAAAATGGCGCGGCTAAAAACGGCCTAAAAATGGCGCACAACGGAGGTTTCGGTTTTTTTAAAAGGATGTATATTGCCTAAGTCACCTTTTTCAACAACTTTGTAAAGATAGAGGCAGCCTAATGAAATTTGTACATATAATCAAGGCCTTAAAAATGTAAACAATCTTTTTGTAAAAATAACTAGTAAAAATAGATAAGGTGATCTCAAGCAATGTGCATCCACTGACTGGCTTTCGTAGCTTGTTGGATTTCTGAGGGTTTTCCTCCGGCGATACGCCGGTTTCCCTCATCTTTAGAGAAGCACTCTAAAGAATAACAAAAAAGGGTGGCCATGCCTGGGACCTGCAGTAGGGATTGTATGGTTATTGGGTTGGATTCCCGATCCACTTGAAGAAACAAGAATAGATCGAGACTCTTGGACCTTCTGTTCTTGTTCAAATTGAACATACTTCAAAAATTCTTATTTGAAGTGCGTGATTACCAGAAACAATGAAGCTTTGTCCATTTCACATATGTCTAGTTACATACAGAATTATTAGTTTAGCTTTCCTTTCAGAGAAAGAAAGCTTTCTAGCATGTTTTATTAGCAAGACGACCAGTGCACATTCATTTACCAATGATTGATGATTATCTTAAGTATTTTTATCGTAATCGTCGATTTAAATTTTGTCTAGTATATGACAGGGATAGTTAGTGATAAGGTTTGCTACTTATGGATACAACGTGTAGTAGTTGTTATTGGTTGATAAATAGAGTTAGAGAGTATTTTATCCACTCGCGACACTCGTATCCATCGTGTCGTGTTATTTCTGCTCAATGTTTCTGCTGACATGATACAATCGAAGTGCACAATGTTGATCCGTGTATAAAAATCAATATTAAAGTAATAATATAAATTCACAAGTTAGTGAAAATTGGAAAAAGACACTAAATTTATTGTTGTTATGCATCCATCATGTCAAAGATTCGGAGTTGAAGTGTTCATATCTGAAGAAGGTGACTACCAGACTCCATGGTGTCCACATGGTAAATTAAAACGAATTTGTTATATTTTAACATTCCCAGGCTTCTCCCCTTTTCATTTCTCTGCCTTAGGCGTCTAAAATACTTTATAGATCTTCATGTGTTTTGATTAGTATTCTAGTCAGCGAATCTAACTGTAGTTTTTGTTGAAGGACCAATGTTAATGTTTGAAAGATATTTTGAGTCTAAACCACCAAGACGATTTTTTGCATGCTCCGCCTGTCGTGATCGAAAAGAATGCAGCTTTTTTCAATGGGCAGATGAGTCTCCAAGCAAGGTGTCTATTGAGGCACACCAAAAGATCATAGAAGCATCACAACCATTAATGAACGCTAAGCAATTTGGCAAAAGACTAAAGATAGTCAAAAGTTTAAACGACTATGAACGGACTTACTGTCATACCTGTGATCTGTTGTTACTACCTAAAGAATTAAAGAAACATGCAAAACATGAAATTTTATGTAATGTAACAAATGAAATGATCACAAATGCAAGTCGTTTCTTGAAGCCGAAAGAAAACAAGAAATCGCATGCTGTATGTTTTCATGTTTATTTAAAAACATAGCATGTCGTGACTGTGATGATGTTGTATTTTCTATTTTAGCAATATCTCTTTAATAATGACGCAATTGAATTTTTTTTGAACACTTTTCAAACTCTTGGTTACCAGAAGATAATTTGTGTAGGTACTCCTAGGTATGTTCGAATTTCATCCAAACCATGTACCATGTTGTTCTAATAAATATTTAGATGTTGAGGTTTTCTTTTACTTTTAATTAAATACCTTTTGTTTTAATGTTTTTTTTATATGATGGTTCTTGTGTAGAATACATGAAGCAATTCAAACTAGAAAAACTGGTGTGATTGACAGTATTTTATTGGATATAGACCATAGACATGTAAGTTAAAGAATACTTGTTTTGAGGACGCTGAGGAAATCATAGTTTCAATTTATTTTTTGAGGGGTGAGCAAAAGATTGGTTTTGTTTTAGCTCCTACCTGTAGGAGAGTATAATGCTTGAAATATATATTTGCCCCAATGTATGAATTCATTACAAACATTGCATGATACTATTGAAATAATTATTTTAATTCACAGGCCCAGTTTCTTGAAGACGATCATTTTATTCACTATAACATGTTCAACCATCATTTTTTTGAAAAAGACCATGCAATGGTTTGTTTTAAGAAGTTCTTGTACAATTCGTTACCCAGTTCTCTGATGGTTATTTTGGATCCACCATTTGGTGGGTTGGTTCAAGTGCTGTCAGTATCCCTAAAAAAACTTTGGAAGCTTGTTTTGAATTATGTGAAAGAAGGAGGTATGGTAAAGTATTTTAAAGAATAGTTCTTCTGTTTGATATTACTGGCCCATTGCATATCAAAGATTTTCCGAAATATTAATTTTATTTTATTGTATTTTATTTACTTATTATAGATGATTACCATTTATCTTGCTTGTCAACTTTTTGGATTTTCCCTTACTTCATGGAATCACACATTACCAAAGAATTACCATTCTTTAAGATGTGTGATTTTAAGGTTTGATAAGTTTATTATGCTTTGTGAAGCTCTTGTCAAAGTCATTGTTCTTTCCCCATTGAATTTGTTAATTTATTTGTTTAGGTTGATTATGACAATCATCCACTCTACAAGAAGCATTTCAAAACAAAAAAACTATCTCCTGTCAGAGTGTTCACTAATGTCTTGTTAAAGACCATCATTCTACCACCAAATGATTATCGGTAGATGTCAATAATTTGCATAAGTAAATAACATTTCTATATCCATGTATTATGTGTTTCTGATATTTTTTGTAGTTTTTGTGACAAATGTCAACGATATGTCAGCAAAGAGAATTTACATTGTGATCTATGTAACGATTGTCCTTCTAAGGTAGTGTGTAGTAGCAAACATAGATACTGCTATGGGGTACAGGCAACTGCCTATGGCATGCTTAGCTAAAAGGGGGGCCCAGACGAACAACTGAAATTAGTCAATTTCAAAGACACATGAAAGCAATGTTACATTACTGTGTATGCTGCAAAAATATTTTTTTTGAAATCACCCTTTCGAAATACTCACTGGCTAGCTAGTTGCTATCAGTAAGGGCTCAGATGAAGTGAGTAGATGTTGAAATCAATATTGGGGTCAGAAATGCCCCTGGTTGCAAATCATGTTTTCCATCGAACATTCTGCAATATTTGTGTTATTTTGTGATTACAGCATAACATTGTTTGGCAGCATTGTCTTATTTGTGGGAAATGTGTAAAGAAAGGTATGTTAATTGGCCAAAATTGCATTGAAAATTCTTTGCAAACATTGTATTTTAATTATCAGGTTATGTTCACTGTGACATATGTAAATCCTGCAAACCTCCTGGACATGATTGTGAAAGGTGATTTTACTCTCACTTCATTTGCAATGTTGTGGATCAATAAATCAGTAATTCAAGATTGCTTGTTGGCCAACTTTCCTTTACACAATCTTATATTTGAGGTTTTGTTCCTAGTTTAACAAGAGGATGTCATATTTGTGGAGATTTTGGTCACAAAAGGAAAGCTTGCCCTCAAAGACACACTAAAATGAATTCAAATGAGAAAAAAAGGTAGAAATGTTTATCTTTAAAAGTGTAAGTCATATTATTACTGGGTAGTGCAGCAAACTCGAATAATTTTTGGTTTGGATCTGTTCATTTTAGCAACAAAAAATTTAGCTTCATCATTGGCCATTTATACTTTTATTGTAATGCTTACATTGTACTACTTGATGAACTGTTTTCTCACACCTTAGCTACATTTTTCTCTCGTTCACAAATGAAGTTTTTCTCATCCCAAATACTAAACATTAATCATTTCACACTTGTAAACCCAGTGTTTTTGGTAAGGGTAAAATTGACCAATTTATTTCTTTTCAAATCTGTGTAGATTCCATGATGGCAAACAAATCACTGAATGTAATAAGATCAGGAAAAGAGAACATTGATGGACAAGAACTATTGCTTGATGTTTCATACATCTTAAAGAAACATGACAGTGAATCCTGTCTGTCTCCTTAATTTAAAATTTAAGGCTTGATCAAGTCTTCTAATGTCAACATGCAAGATAGAAAAGGATCTGAAAGATGGAGATAAGTGATGTATGGAAGTGAAATATATTTATCTTTTCATCCAAATTCATTAATTAAAAGTTTGGCAAATCTTATACATCTGCCCTTATACTTATAAAAGCAATTATTTGCATACAAGGATACCCAGAGGTTATGTAGGTGTTGACAGTTTGTTGAGTTCATTGGGTTTTGAAAAGACTTATGGCTATACTGTGACTGTACAATGCATGACAGACTGGTAAACATGATCTGGGTTTGCATAATTGTTGAAGATATGTGATGGTGGGGAAAATTTATTGGAGTGAGGATAGAAAGTCAAGGTTGTGAGCACTATCTGTAACATTGTATGTAAATATGCTTTCTAAAAAACATTCTTGGTTTGCTTTATGTCAAACCTTCACTTATCTCATTCACCCTCCACTTCTTAGCTCAAACTTAACACGTGACTTATTTTGACCAATTACATTTGATAATTGGCACTAACTTTGCCGATCCTTCACGCGCCATGTTTAAAAGGATTTCTTCCTGACACACTCTTTATCGTAAGTATTATGTACAATATTGCATTATTTGTCGAATAAATAAGATTTATAGCATCAAAGTGAGTTTAACTTGTCAAATACACGACTATTTGTCTTGAAGGTATTGAAAAAGTCATCCACGAACTCAGCAAATCTGTTGTCGATTTGTCAAAGCAAAGAGAGTCTCACGGCTTGCTTTCTTTGGTACAAGGTACGATGGTTTTGATGATCATAAGAAATAAATATTAACGGTTTGTTTACCATTTCCTGAAAATATTGCCGAATATTTGTATTTCAGTAGAAGAAATCTTAGACATATGATGTCATACTAGTTCGTTTCATGTGGTTTCATGTATATTTATTTTCCTACACACGTTAATTAAAACATCTACAAAAACTGTAGACGTTTTGGCTGAAATGCAGCATGTAATGTAACGTTGTAGTTATTTTAAAATTGGTGTAATAGTAATATCCAAGTGAGTGATAAATTCAACTGTTGTCAAATTGCAGATTGTTTATAACTTTGTCAATGATATACACTTTATCTCCTTATGTCAACTGAAATAGTGGATTCAAAGATATTTCAAGCTTTTTTATTTACTTAATCAATCAAGAAGAATGTTGAAGCTTGAAGTCAAGAGAAGAGTGGATACACAGGTTAGCAAATGAGTAGTTGTATTTAGAAGTAAGATTTTTGCACGCAGACAATAAGGTTTGGAAGCTAAGAGTTGAGTTAAATAAGGAATGGGGTTGTTGGGATTAGGAAGAATGAGTCTCAGGAGTTTTGATAGCATGGTGGGATATAGGTTTCTTTATAATTATTAAACACTTATTAGCCAAGGTTGAGAGTAAAATCAAGTTGGTTAGTGGTAAGTTTATTGGGTGCATTGGAATATGGTGTAGTGGTGTTAGTGATATTGTCAGTCTTGGTACTGATGTTAGGGTAGTCTTAGGGCTGGTGATAGACTTATGTAGTGATAGTGTTGGTGTTACTTTTACTCTTTGCCTTGGTTTTATTCTTAGTCTTACTGTTCGTGATAGTGTTAGTCTTAAGTTAGAAAAAATGTAATTTTTTGCGTATTTCTCTTTATAATTAGGTGGTGATAGTCGTACATCGAGTCTCAAGAAAGAATCGTTTTAAAGAAAGAACTCTTTGGAATCACCTGTGTACGATACATTCATAATAAAGCGTGTTACATCTCAACAGCCTAACCAAAAGGTGAACAGAAAACAACGACAGCCAGTGCAATGGCAGAACAACGATGAAATTGAATTTGACAAAGTGAGCATTTGTCGAAAAGAATTTGGGTATATAAACCGATCAACAGCTAGAAGTTTAGATAAACGTCAACGTTGATGTTGGGAAAGAATTTGCTGATAACTGACAGATATTCTCAGCGTGGATTGCACGCAAATTATTAGCTATCAAAGCAGAGGCTCTGATATTTATATTAAGAATTCGCTTTCCGCCCTGTATACCCTGGTCACAATTCTGAAGAAACTGTCAAAGCGGAATTATTACGAGTTAAATTACTACGAGTGAACTACGACAAGTGACATTGCGTTGGTAAAGCTAATATCGACAGCAGCCGCTAAAAGAAATCTGCATGGTTTAGCCGTAAGAAAACGTGCTGCTTTTGAAAGACTTATTACTTTTCTCTATCTTTTTCAAAAGAAGACATAAGTAACTATAGATATTTTGCTTTTGTATTACCAAACTAACATTAATATAAATGTATTTATTTGTAATACTTTTTCAGTCTTTATATCAACACTCGACTACGAATATGATTTTTGGTTTGTTGCTTTATCTTTAGCTGGAAGTGATCTGTTATAATTTTGATTCGAGACCTTCAATGGTCTACTTTTTTTTGCATTAAATCCTTCAAGGTAGGAATGGCACTTTAAAATGACCAGGTGTCTTCAACGAACTCTCTGGTCTAGTGGATAGACACAACCTTTCGAGGTTGAGAGTGGAGGTTCGAACCCTGTCTGGAATAAGATGTAACTATGCTAAGGATGAATAAGAAATAGGAAAATAAGGAAATAGTGCTGGTTAATAGAACAAAAATGGGATTTCTATTACTAAACTTTTCGAGAATGGAATGCGACACTTAGTATAAATTCAGAAAAACGCTCTCCGATGAGAAGGAGAGCGAAGAAAAAAAAGATAGGATCCCATGCAAAAAACCACTCTTAAAAAAACTAAGTCTTTTGCTCAAATTTTTTTATGACTCCCTGTGATCAGGGAGTTATTTTTAAATTTTGAAAGTCAGGAAACCCAAGAGCAAACAGAACGCCCTAATCATCCCTTTCTTACTTCCAGGCACTCGTTCCTCAGTTCGACTTTCTGTCTTCCACATCCGCCGCGTACACCTGCCAAGTGTGTTGGCAGAGGGCGAACAAGGATCTTGTGCACCGGAGGTCATTGATGTCGAACTAAACGCCCAACATCGGCCAGTTGAGCTAACCGCTCATCATCGAAAGCTCTATGTTTTTTGGAGTATTTGTTATATTTTTTCAATGTGAAACGAAAGAAAAGGAGAAGGTCTTGAACCTTAGATGGTCTCGAACCCGAGAAGGTGAGAGCACTGCACCTACATCTTTACCACTCGGCCAGACGGGTGAATTGGAAAACCGTTTAAAACATGTCAAGTGTTTCTGACTAAACAACATTGCCTTCATTTCTCTCGAGGCTCACTTTTAATACTGTGTTTATCTTGTTCTTCGTCACCATCATTGCAAAGATTAAGAAAGGGACTTACTACGCATTATAGTTGTTCAACTCTAACATTGCAGGAGAATATATGATATAAGCGAAAGGAGGAAGACCAATAAAGTATGCACAATGTCAGACATTGCATGTGGTGAATCAAAACAACAACGCGCATGTTCGTAGTCAATTTAATGGCGCTGGGAGTTTCTAACTTGTCTGTTCAAAGTTAAATAAAAATATTTTTTACCATCATGCATGATAATATTGTAATGGTTTGTACAAAAGCATATGGCTCCTACAGAACAGTATCCACTTACTAATTTTACAATCTTGCCATGTCTTGAGTGTCATCATTTCAACTATAGTCAATGTAATCATTATAGCCAATGCGGTTTTTGTCGACATTTGTGTCTATCTTCTTGTCTACCTTTGTGTCTACCTTCTTGTCCACCTTTGTGTCTACCTTTGAAATGACTAATTGAAAAATTAGTCATTTCATAGTCGAAAGTATTCCAAGTAATCGAAGGTAGTCAATTCACGCGACGCGATGTGGTAAATCAGGGCAGTGACGAGCATGTCTTAGGTCATATTTTCCGATGCAATGGCGTCGAGATCATTTGACTTTATGTTTGAACTAACTGAACTGTTTTTTATCATCATAACGCACCAACCATATTCCTTTCAATGTTTGTTTTGGTTGCACACAAACAAGAGTTTAATAGCAAGGACAAAGAAACCTATGAAATGACGTCTTTTATGATATCGTCTTTTATGCAATGACAACTTTTTCTCTTTTATGTAATCAATTACATCTTTTTCTCTTTCTATTCATGCATTTTCACAAATCTTAACATTTTTTCCCCACAAAGACTATAATTCATGCACTTTAACAAAGGTAAACATTTCCCACTGGATTCATAGCACAGAGATTTATGAACGCATGAATTATAAATTGTAATGGGGAAAAAGTGAAAAAATGTGAAATAGACGGTTAACACTTTTGAAAAAGTGTGAAAGTTGTGAAAAATGCGTGAATTATAATGTCTTTTGTGAAAAAAAATGTGAATTTGTGAAAATGCATGAATTATAGACTTTGTGTGAGAAAATGTGAAAATTTGTGAAAATGCATGAATTATATGAACTTTATGCCTTTGTCTCTAAAGTGTATACCTTTATGTCTCATTGTGTTTACTTTTTGTGTCTACATCACCGTTATGTCTACCTTTGTCTCTACCTTTGTGTCTACCTTTATGTTTACACTTTGTTAAAAGTGCATGAATTATAGTCTTTGTGGGAAAAAATGTTAAGATTTGTGAAAATGCATGAATAGAAAGAGAAAAGATGTAATCGATTACATAAAAGAAAAAGTTGTCATTGCATAAAGACGATATCATAAAGACGTCATTTCATAGGTTTCTTTGTCCTTGCTATTAAACTCTTGTTTGTGTGCAACCAAACAACATGAAAGGAATATGGTTGGTGCGTTATGATGATAAAAACAGTTCAGTTAGTTCAAACATAAATTCAAATGATCTCAACGCCATTGCATCGGAAAATATGACCTAAGACATGCTCGTCACTGCCCTGATTTACCACATCGCGTCGCGTGAATTGACTACCTTCGATTACTTGGAATACTTTCGACTATGAAATGACTAATTTTTCAATTAGTCATTTCAAAATAGAACAAAAGGTGGACAGAAGGTAGACACAAAGGTAGACAAGAAGATGACACAAATGTCGACAAAACCGCATTGGCTATATTGATTACATTGACTATATGTTGAAATGATGACACTCAAGACATGTAAGATTGTAAAATTAGTAAGTGGATACTGTTCTGTAGGAACCATATGCTTTTGTAGAAACCATTAAAATATTATCATGCATGATGGTAAAAAATATTTTATTTAGAAACTCCCAGCGCCATTAAATTGACTACGAACATGCGCGTTGTTGTTTTGATTCACCACATGCAATGTCTGACATTGTGCATACTTTATTGGTCTTCCTCCTTTCACTTATATCATTTATTCTCCTGCAATGTTAGAGCTAAACAACTAAAATGCGTAGTAAGTCCCTTTCTTCATCTTTGCAATGATGGTGACGAAGAACAAGATAAACACAGTATTAAATGTGAGCCTCAAGGAAATGAAGGCAATGTTGTTTAGTCAGAAACACTTGACATGTTTTAAACGGTTTCCAATTCACCCGTCTGGCCGAGTGGTAAAGATGTAGGTGCAGTGCTCTCACCTTCTCGGTTCAAGACCATCTAGGTTCAAGACCTTCTCCTTTTCTTTCGCTTCACATTGAAAAATATAACAAATACTCCAAAACATAGAGCTTTCGATGATGAGCGGTTAGCTCAACTGGCCGATGTTGGGCGTTTAGTTCGACATCAATGACCTCCGGTGCACAGATCCTTGGTTCGCCCTCTGCCAACACTTGGCAGGTGTACGCGGCGGATGTGGAAGACAGAAAGTCGAACTGAGGAACGAGTGCCTGGAAGTAAGAAAGGGATGATTAGGGCGTTCTGTTTGCTCTTGGGTTTCCTGACTTTTCAAAATTTAAAAATCTCCTGATCACGAAGTCATAAAAATTTGAGCAAAGACTTAGTTTTTAAGAGTGGTTTTGCATGGGATCCTATCTTTTTTCTTCGCTCTCCTTCTCATCGGAAGCGTTTTTCTGAATTTATACTAAGTGTCGCATTCCATTCTCGAAAAGTTTAGTAATAGAAATCCCATTTTGTTCTATTAACCAGCACTATTTCCTTATTTTCCTATTTCTTATTCATCCTTATAGTTACATCTTATTCCAGACAGGGTTCGAACCTCCACTCTCAACCTCGAAAGGTTGTGTCTATCCACTAGACCAGAGAGTTCGTTGAAGACACCTGGTCATTTTAAAGTGCCATTCCTACCTTGAAGGATTTAATGCAAAAAAAGACCATTGAAGGTCTCGAATCAAAATTATAACAGATCACTTCAGCTAAAGATAAAGCAACAAACCAAAAATCATATTCGTAGTCAGTGTTGATATAAAGACTGAAAAAGTATTACAAATAAATACATTTATATTAATGTTAGTTTGGTAATACAAAAGCAAAACATCTATAGTTACTTATGTCTTCTTTTGAAAAGATGAGAAAAGTAATAAGTCTTTCAAAAGCAGCACGTTTTCTTACGGCTAAACCATGCAGATTTCTTTTAGCGGCTGCTGTCGATATTAGCTTTATCAACCAATGGCACTTGTCGTAGTTCACTCGTAGTAATTTAACTCGTAATAATTCCGCTTTGATAGTTTCTTCAGAATTGTGACCAGGGTATACCGGGCGGAAGCAATTCTTAATATAAATATCAGAGCCTCTGCTTTGATAGTTAATAATTTGCGTGCAATCCACGCTGAGAATATCTGTCAGTTATCAGCAAATTCTTTCCCAACATCAACGTTGACGTTTATCTAAACTTCTAGCTGTTGATCGGTTTATATACCCAAATTCTTTTCGACAAATGCTCACTTTGTCAAATTCAATTTCATCGTTGTTCTGCCATTGCACTTGCTGTCGTTGTTTTCTGTTCACCTGTTGGTTGGGCTGTTGAGATGTAACATGCTTTATATGAATGTATCGTACACAGGTGATTCCAAAGAGTTCTTTCTTTAAAACGATTCTTTCTTGAGACTCGATGTACGACTATCACCACCTAATTATAAAGAAATACACAAAAATTACATTTTTTCTAACTTAAGACTAACACTATCACGAACAGCAAGACTAAGAATAAAACCAAGGCAAAGTAAAAGTAACACCAACACTATCACTACATAAGTCTATCACCAGCCCTAAGACTACCTAACATCAGTACCAAGACTGACAATATCACTAACACCACTACACCATATTCCAATGCACCCAAACTTACCACTAACAACTTGATTTTACTCTCAGCCTGGCTAATAAGTGTTTAATAATTACAAAAACCTATATCCCACCATGCTATCAAAACTCCTGAGACTCATTCTTCCTAATCCCAACAACCCATTCCTTATTTAACTCAGCTCTTGGCTTCAAACCTTATTGTCTGCGTGCAAAATCTTACTTCTAAATACAACTACTCATTTGCTAACCTGTGTATCCACTCTTCTCTTGACTTCAAGCTTCAACATTCTTCTTGATTGATTAAGTAAATAAAAAAGCTTGAAATATCTTTGAATCCACTATTTCAGTTGACATAAGGAGATAAAGTGTATATCATTGACAAAGTTATAAACAATCTGCAATTTGACAACAGTTGAATTTATCACTCACTTGGATATTACTATTACACCAATTTTAAAATAACTACAACGTTACATTACATGCTGCATTTCAGCCAAAACGTCTACAGTTTTTGTAGATGTTTTAATTCACGTTGTAGGAAAATAAATATACATGAAACCACATGAAACGAACTAGTATGACATCATATGTCTAAGATTTCTTCTACTGAAATACAAATATTCGGCAATATTTTCAGGGAATGGTAAACAAACCGTTAATATTTATTTCTTATGATCATCAAAACCATCGTACCTTGTACCAAAAAAGGCAAGCCGTGAGACTCTCTTTGCTTTGACAAATCGACAACAGGTTTGCTGAGTTCGTGGAAGACTTTTCCAATACAAGACAAATAGTCGTGTATTTGACAAGTTAAACTCACTTTGATGCTATAAATCTTATTTATTCGACAAATATTGCAATATTGTACATAATACTTACGATAAAGAGTGTGTCAGGAAGAAATCCTTTAAACATGGCGCGTGAAGGATCGGCAAATTTAGTGCCAATATCAAATGTAATTGGTCAAAATAAGTCACGTGTTAAGTTTGAGCTAAAAGTGGAGGGTGAATGAGATAAGTGAAGGTTTGACATAAAGTAAACCCAAGAATGTTTTTAGAAAGCATATTTACATACAATGTTAGATAATGCTCACAACCTTGACTTTCTATCCTCCTCCAATAAATTTTCCCCACCATCACATATCTTCAACAATTATGCAAACCCAGATCATGTTTACCAGTCTGTCATGCATCGTACAGTCACAGTATAGCCATAAGACTTTTCAAAACCCAATGAACTCAACAAACTGTCAACACCTACATAACCTCTGGGTATTCTTGTGTGCAAATAATTGCTTTTATAAGTATAAGGGCAGATGTATAAGATTTGCCAAACTTTTAATTAATGAATTTGGATGAAAAGATAAATATATTTCACTTCCATACATCCTTATCTCCATCTTTCAGATCCTTTTCTATCTTGCATGTTGACATTAGAAGACTTGATCAAGCCTTAAATTTTAAATTAAGGAGACAGACAGGATTCACTGTCATGTTTCTTTAAGATGTATGAAACATCAAGCAATAGTTCTTGTCCATCAATGTTCTCTTTTCCTGATCTTATTACATTCAGTGATTTGTTTGCCATCATGGAATCTACAGATTTGAAAAGAAATTGGTCAATTTTACCCTTACCAAAACACTGGGTTTACAAGTGTGAAATGATTAATGTTTAGTATTTGGGATGAAAAAAACTTCATTTGTGAACAAGAGAAAAATGTATCTAAGGTGTGAGAAAACAGTTCATCAAGTAACACAATGTAAGTATTACAATAAAAGTATAAATGGCCAATGATGAAGCTTAAATTTTTCTTGCTGAAATGAACAGATCAAACCAAAATTATTTGAGTTTACTGCACTACCCAGTAATATGAATTATACTTTTAAAGATAAACATTTCTACCTTTTTCTGATTTGAATTCATTTTAGTGTGTGGGGCAAGCTTTCCTTTTGTGACCAAAATCTCCACAAATATGACATCCTCTTGTTAAACTAGGAACAAAACCTCAAATATAAGATTGTGTAAGAAAATTGGCCAATAAGCAATCTTAATTACTGATTTATTGATCCACAACATTGCAAATGAAGTGAGAGTAAAATCACCTTTCACAATCATGTCAGGAGGTTTGCAGGATTTATATGTCACAGTGAACATAACCTGATAATTAAAATACAATGTTTGCAAATTTTCAATGCAATTTTGGCCAATCAACATACCTTTCTTTACACATTTCCACAAATAAGACAATGCTGCCAAACATTGTTATGCTGTAATAACAAAATAACACAAATATTGCAGAATGTTAGATGGAAAACATGATTTGCTACCAGGGGCATTTCTGACCCCAATATTGATTTCAACATCTACTCATTCAAAATGCAGGCCCTTACTGATAGCAACTAACAGCTAGCCAGTGAGTATTCGAAAGGGTGATTTCAAAAAATATTTTTGCAGCATACAGTAATGTAACATTGCTTTCATGTGTCTTTGAAATTGACTAATTTCAGTTGTTCGTCTGGGCCCCCCTTTTAGCTAAGCATGCCATAGGCAGTTGCCTGTACCCATGACAGTATCTATGTTGCTACTACTACCTTAGAGGACAATCGTTACATAGATCACAATGTAAATTCTCTTTGCTGAAATATTGTTGACATTTGTCACAAAAACTACTATCAAAACACATAATACATGGATATAGAAATGTTATTTACTTATCAAATTATTGGATAATCATTTGGTGAGAAGAATGATGGTCTTTAACAAGACATTAGTGAACACTCTGACGGGGATAGTTTTTTGTTTTGAAATGCTTCTTGTAAGTGGATGATTGTCATAATCAACCTAAACAAATAAATTACCAAATTCAATGGGGAAAGAACAATGACTTTGACAAGAGCTTCACAAAGTGTAATAAACTTCAAACCTTAAAATCCACACATCTTAAAGAATGGTAATTCTTTGGTAATGTGTGATTCCATGAAATAAGGGAAAATCAAAAAGTTGACAAGCAAGATAAATGGTAATCATCTATAATAAGTAAATAAAATACAATAAAATAAAATTAATATTTCAAAATCTTTGATATGCAATGGGCCAGTAATATCAAACAGAAGAACTATTCTTTAAAATACTTTACCATACCTCCTTCTTTCACATAATTCAAAACAAGCTTCCAAAGTTTTTTAGGGATACTGCAGCACTTGAACCAACCCACCAAAGGTGGATCAAAATAACCATCAGAGAATTGGGTATAGGTGTATAAGAACTTCTAAAACAAACCATTGCATGGTCTTTTCAAAAAATGATGGTTGAACATGTTATAGTGAATAAAATGGCGTCTTTAGAAACTGGACCTGTGAATTAAAAAATTATTTCAATAGTATCATGCAATGTTTGTAATGAATTATAGATTAGGGCAAATATATATTTCAAGCATTATACTCTCCTACAGGTAGGAGCTAAAACAAAATCAATCTTTTGCTCACCCTCAAAATAAGTGAAACTATGATTTCCTCGAAACGTCCTCAAAACAGAAAAATATTCTTTAACTTACATGTCTATGGTCTATATCAATAAAATACTGTCAATCACACCAGTTTTCTATTTGAATTGCTTCATGTATTCTACACAGAACCATCATATAAAAAAAACATTAAAACAAAGGTATTTAATTAAAAGTAAAAGAAACCTCAACATCTAAATATTTATTAGAACAACATGGTACATGGTTTGGATGAAATTGAACATACCAAAGTACCTACACAAATTATCTTCTGGTAACCAAGAGTTTGAAAAGTGTTCAAAAAAATTCAATTCGTCATTATTAAAGAGATATTGCTAAAATAGAAATACAACATCATCACAGTCGACATGCTATGTTTTAAATAAACATGAAAACATACAGCATCGCGATTTCTTATTTTCTTTGACTAAGAAAGCGACTTGCATTTGTGATCATTTCATTTGTTACATTACATAAAATTTCATGTTTTGCATGTTTCTTTAATTCTTTAGAGTAGTAACAACAGATCACAGGTATGACAGTAAGTCCGTTCATAGTCGTTTAAACTTTTGACTATCTTTAAGAAATTGCTTTGTTGTTGGTGTGCTTCTATGATCTTTTGGTGTGCCTCAATAGACACCTTGCTTGAGACTCATCTGCCCATTGAAAAAGCTGCATTCTTTTCGATCACGACAGGCGGAGCATGCAAAAATCGTCTTGGTGGTTTAGACTCAAAATATCTTTCAAACATTAACATTGGTCCTTCAACAAAAACTACAGTTAGATTCGCTGACTAGAATACTAATCAAAACACATGAAGATCTATAAAGTATTTTAGACACCTAAAGTAGAGAAATGAAAGGGAGAAGCCTAGGAATGTTAAAATATAACAAATTCGTTTAATTTACCATGTGGACACCATGGAGTTTGGTAGTCATCTTCGTCAGATATGAACACTTCAACTCGAATCTTTGACATGATGGATGCATAACAATAATAAATTTAGTGTCTTTTTCAGTTTTCATTAACTTGTGAATTTATATTATTATTTTAATATTGATTTTTATATATTGATCAACATTGTGCACTTCGATTGTATCATGTCAGCAGAAACATTGAGCAGAAATAACACGACACGATGGACACGAGTGTCGCGAGTGGATAAAATACTCTCTAACTGTTTTATCAACCAATAACTACTACACGTTGTATCAATAAGTAGCAAACCTTATCACTAGCTATCCCTGTCATATACTATACAAAATTTAAATGGACGATTACGATAAAATACTTAAGATAATCATCAATCATTGGTAAATGAATGTGCACTGGTCGTCTTGCTCATAAAACATGCTAAAAGCTTTCTTTCTGGAAAGAAAGCTAAACTAATAATTCTGTATGTAACTAGACATATGTGAAATGGACAAAGCTTCTTGTTTCTGGTAATCACGCACTTCAAATAAACTTTTTTGAAGTGCGTGATTAACAAGAACAGAGAGGTCCAGAGTGTCGATCTACTCTTGTTTCTTCAAGTGGATCGAGAATCCAACCAATAACCATACAATCCCTACTGCAGGTCCCAGGCATGGCCACCTTTTTGTTATTCTTTAGAGTGCTTCTCTAAAGATGAGAAACCGGCGTATCGCCGGAGGAAAACCCTCAGAGATCAACAACTACGAAAGCCAGTCGGTGGATGCACATTGCTTGAGATCACCTCATCTATTTTACTAGTTATCTTTACAAAAGATTGTTTACATTTTAAGGCCTTGATTATGTACAAATTTCATTAGACTGCCTTTATCTTTACAAAGTTGTTGAAAAGGTGACTTAGGCAATATACATCCTTTTAAAAACCGTAACCTCCGATGTACGCCATTTTAGGCCGTTTTAGCTGCGCCATTTTTGCCTAAGCGCATTCTTAGCTAACCCTGTTGATCAGTGGCATGTAATAACCGATTTGAACATCTACCTACGAACTATTCTGCACAAAATAAGTAAACCATACCTTTGAACGATGAGACACCTGTAAAGCAACGTTAGTACCCGAACCGAAAGGGAACCTAACGAATAGGGAACCGCCTCCCTGGGCCCTATACTTTACCAAACGGCGTGCCAACCAATCCTTCTTGTGTCAACACTCGATCACCTAGGTACCAATTTGGCACCGTTTACGATTATTCCTACCTGGAACTACATTAAATGTATCGGATAAGTTTGTCTCACTGTCTATCAAATCATCTTCCATGCATAAAATAGATGAAGATGTTCGATTTGATTTCGAGACGATCTAACCCAATACATCATGAATAATTGAACTATATTCCTTCTCTGAACTATTTTCTTCAAGTTAAATAACAGTGAGTTAATTAACTTCGACATGCCACTCATAACATTGATTTTGACAGCTATTTATAAAAAGCAATGCCGGGTTTCATGCACCTATTATTCTGTTTCGTTGTTTATTAGACCAACGTTGCATATTCGTCTTGATGATGCAAATCACTCATTTTTTTTCTAAAAATATTTTTAAGCACTTTCACTTGTTTTTATTCATTTTCAAGCGTCTGGTGAACATTTCAAGTTTTGCATGGTTCAAAATTCAAGCAATTCAAACTAAACGTAAAAATGATTTATAAAGCATCATCAAGCAAGAATATTTCAGACGTTTATAACCTTTAGATTAATTTAATTTGCGCTATGCAGCTTGCATGCCGGATTGCGCCATGTTTCGGTCCGAATTTCTTTTGTTATTTAACGTGCAATCTGTGATTCGGATTTCGCCATTTTTGGACCGTAATTTTCTGCTTTGATAACTAAATATACATATGATTCAGTTTAAAGTAAAATACGCAAGATATAATACACGACCAAAACTCAAAGAAACCCATGCTTATTTCTTTGAACTTAGGATCGTGTACCCTGGTGATCAAAACAACGAAAAACCTATAAAAACCGACATCAGACATATATATTTTACCTTGTACAATGATAATCTTACATTATACGACAATTTGATAAAGTTTTCGACAATATAAGATATATCATCGTTTTAGGCAAATGTTTCAACCGCAAAAAGCACTGCATCACATGCACAAAACTAAAACACAACACTATAACAATCAAAGAACAACTAACTTTGTTATACACTCAGCCAATGATCAATCATCTTCCTGTTAGTGTAGATCACCAGGATTTTAACTAAAACACTATAAACCTGCTACCTTAAACGTCGTCTTTGGTCTTCATTCGTAGATTAAGGTACAACGATGATGTAAATCCACGATAACGATGATGTAAATCCATGACAACCATAAAGTACATGTAATCCACGACAGCTGTCAGTTAATCAGTTAATCTACGATGACTATATGACTGTGATCGGACAATTATGCTTTGACCCACGACATACATGATACAATATATGAATCATAATGTGCCACCATTGCATTCTTTTCACTACAAAACAAATGAAGGTTCAAGATAACACGAAATTCTTCAAAATTCACGAAAACTGCACAGTTATTGACAATAACGTGAACAAAACCTTAATAAAATTATTGTAAAATTATAATAATTTTACTGTGAAAACTATATATTCTGTGTAATGTTATAACAATTAGTGTAAAGAAGTTTTTCAAGACAAAATTCCCAACAAATAACATTGTTTTTGCTAGGCTAATTCCCATTTACAACATTATCTTCTGCTGTAATGTAGCCAAAAGCAACTATAAA